TATATATATATATAAAATTATTGTAAAAATAATGTAATGTGACTTTGAAGACGTAGGTAAGAGTCCAAAAAAAGATTCTTTACGCGTAAATAGATACACATTTATTAAATAATTGTCTAAATTATTTCTATTCTTTCGGTTGCTCTTTACGATATATTGTAAATCATAGATGGGAAATATTAAAAAAACGTTTCTTACTTTACCTTGATAAATGTTTTGATAAATTTATGTAATCGATCTTGGCAGATAGCCTAAGTGATAATTTTTAACTTGTATGAAAAGAAGTTTTCACGAGAAAAAAATCAAATTTCTGGAAAGATTACGAGAATTTATTACTGAAATTAAATTGCTGTGGTACATCTTGTACCACCTATGACCATTTTACACATTACGATAAAAATGAACAATGATCTTTGTACGTGTGTGTGCGTATGTGTATGAATAATGTCAAATACGAAACAGTAATCCTTTGTATATCATTAAAGGTAATATCATTACTTTTAATGATTATATCGTCATTCGATGAAAAAAAAAATAATTTTATTTTTCATTGAATACTAAAAATAACTTTATTATAATATTTTGGAAAACTCTCGAAATCGTCTATTAGATTCTGGAATCAAAAATAAGATATTCCATTTAAAATAATCGACGTGACCTTGACCTGATCTTGGCACCACCTAAACACAAACTGATAAGATCAGTAGATAAATCTTTTTAAATCCAACAACTTTTATGATTGAACCTTATTCTGCGAAAATAAAAGGATGGTACGGGTGATCTGAAACATCCGGTATATAAACATGTATAAACATATTAGGTGTAGTAAAAAGAAATCCACTATTTTTCCATTCAATTTCATGCAAAAATAATGGATTTCTTTTTACTACATCTAATACATAAACGTGCATAAATATTTATAAACATATATAATCATATATGAAATATATTCATGCATGTTCATATTAGATCCTTCTTTTTTGTAAAATTACTTTTTAGTGTACTAAAAATAATAATGAGAAAACATGAAAATTAATTAAAGGGATAATTTTCGCATTGTTTATTTTAGAAAAAAATCAAGTTTGGAGAAAAGTAAAAAAATTACAATACACATAACTGTATATATAAGTTTATACAATTGTATGTGAGCAATCCTTTTATATTTTATCAAACTTGATTTTTCTTGAAAATAGCAATACGAAAATTATGCCTTTAACTATTTTTTATGTTTTCTTATTATTATTTTTGGTATATTAAAAAGTAATTTTACAAAAGAAATGAGGACGTATTATGGACATATTTCATATAATTATATTTATGAATATTTATGTATGTTTATGTATGTTTGTACATATTTATATAATTATATAAATTATATTCATGTATGAAAAATTTTTTTACTGGGAAGTTAAAAGTAAATTTTTTCAATGTATAATAATGCATTTTAAACTGCACATAATTTTACATGATTGTTACTTTAAGTAAATTTAATCTTAATATAAATTAATAAAAGAATATTGCGTTTAACAATTCATAAAATTTTGTGAAATTTTTATTGCTTTTCCAATTTGATTATATTCAAGTTGACAAAGCGGCTAGTCTGTTCACCAAGTAAAAATGAATTTCATTGGTTACTTATAGATCCAATCACATTCAATTGGTCTGAGTGGGGGGCCTCTATTCTCGAAAAGTATCGCATACGAAAAACTAAGGAAATATAGTATGCGTTACATATATTATAACATTTCTCTAGTTTTTCGTATGCGATACTTTTCAAGAAACAGGAGATCAATTCTGTACCTTGAAAGAAGTGAAAAATGAGCAAATTTACTAGGTGTTGACTAATGAAATTATCAGTATTCTAGTAAATTCGTTCACTTTTATAATTTTTGTCAAGATACAGAATCGATCCCCGGGACCTCTTCTTGAAAAGCATCGCATATAAAAAACTAGGGAAATGCTATAATATATGTTACAAAAACTATAGTACATCTCTAGTTTTTCGTATGCGATATTTTTCAAGAATAGGGACCCAGAGTCCCAGACTAGCCGCTTTAAGGTGATATTTCATTTATGCGTTTTTATTGTGCGACGAATTTTTCAAGTCTGTTGATAGAGACAAAAAGGTCCCGAGAATCTCTCTGCTCTGTATACATTTCTCGTATAACGCACAAATGAAATAGCAACTAGTCTGAAATGAGTCTAGTCTGAAATGAGTCTAGTCTGAAATGAGTCTAGGCATAAAGCACTAGATATACTTGGTTCATATCGGCCATCTTGGTTCCTTTTGATTGACTGCGTTCAGCAAAGAAAAGTAATTATGCGTGATTCTTTAATAAATAGTTGGTTTTTGCCTTTAGTGCTTCACTGGATAAGTGTAGAAACCAAAATTGATTAGTTTTCTCTCATTCATAGGTTATAGCATAATGGAATTATTATATATTAGGTGCAGTAATAAGAAATCCATTATTTTTGCATGACATTCAATGGAAAAATAATGGATTTCTTTTTACTACACCTAATATAAGGTGAACCATTGCGCATAATGGCGGAGTTCGACCAATCAAAATTATTAATTTACAGTGTTTACTTATTTGCAGTACGAATCATATGAATTTCTGTAAATGAACTAAAAAATTGATTGGTTGACAGATCTCTCCACTACTTTCAATCCACTACGCATTCGTGGAAATGGTTCACCTTACTATTTATATCATGGGTTATAGTACGATAGGTTGATTGATAAAGGTAAATGTTAAAAAGAGCCCAAGCTTTGATAAAAATATACGCTATAAATAAAAAACGCTATAACTCAACTCAACTCATGGCATACATGGCGATATCTTTTATATTTATAAGAGAAGCGTAACCGACTTAGTCAGTATCGCGAAAATACTAAAAATTATTAGAAGAAGTACTAAAAATAAGTCATTCGCGTAATGACTTCTGCATACTGGACGCAGAAGAAACGCTTGCCGCATGGCAAAATGTGATGCGGCCAATAAGCTTACAGCTAATGTGTTCATTAGTTACCGCATCTCATTTTATCGCGCGAGAGCCTCACAGGGAGAGAGTGGCAAATTGAATCACATGAATACCCACATCAGGATGAGGGGTCACGTGACCAGTTTTTTCTCCAATCTCTTCCATGTCTATGGAGTTTTGATGTCTATGTCCAGAGGAGACAAGTCACGATGCAATTTACCACTCTCTCCCTGTGAGATTCTCTGGTCTGCGTCGTTTGCAAGGCAGACTATGAAATTTACCAATTATCCATTATGCAACCATTTTTACACAGTACACAGAAATTAGTTCATCATTGGCTGCTAATCATGTAATTGCAATGACCAATCAAAACTTAACACCAGTCGCGCTTCTCTTACAAATCTAGGATTCCTCTACATGGCTCACCGACGAGATATTGGATGCTTTCTATTTGATGACATAGATCGACATAAGCATCGTTTTATCTTTCTTGATATTCAGAGGGTGATAAGGAACGACACTTGTGTCATCAAATGGAAAGCATCTACTATTAAAAGATGGTCAGCACTTATAGAAGTTCGCGTGCCTGTTAAAATTTAAGTGATTAAGAGTAAGAAAGTAATAATATGGTATTAATTTTATTAGTTTTGCACGATTTATTAAATTTATTAGTTAGACATATGTTAAAAACTTAATAATACTCAGTTTTTATTTAAAACTGATTTTAATATCATCATTCGAGTTAATTATCAATAGAGATAATAACTGCAGAGAAAAAAATTGTAATTTTTTGACAATATATAAGATATTATAGCATTAAAAGTGTGCATACTTATTTATATAATAAAAAAATCATAAATTTAATAATGTATTAACAAAATATTTATATTAATAATCATAAATTTTTATTAATTGTCGATATCATCATTGTTCTTCAATTATCTCTGGGCCTCCCGGGCCCTATTAATAGAAAATTCATGAAAATTTGCCCAGGCTCGACGGTCTTTAATGTGGCCTAGTTTCCACCGAGAGTTTAAATTAGATCAGAATGTAATCAACCAACTACAGTCGAGTATTCCCCTGTTATAGTCGAATGACAGAATGCTCGACTGCAATTAATTGGTTCTTACATTCTGATCCGGATTGAACCCTCGATGGAAATTGGACCTATGTGACATGTGCATACTGGTGAGAGTACGTTTCTAATAGTTCATTGTTCTTTTATATAGGTTATATGACTTTTACGCTCGCACATAACTCCAAAAAATGATTAAAAAATTGTTGGAACGATGGTTCATAAGAAGCAAAATAAAAAACAAACAAGAAGCCTTGAACATTAGACGAAAACTTGCGATAATTTATGCTATCGTGGGATGGAATATGTTTGGTGTTTTGTTTTACAAAATTATAAAACATAAAATGCCAGAAGACCCTACAGAACGAAGTAAATCATTTTTTATCGATTTTATTTTGATATTTTATTGAAGAGTATGACGAAACATTTATTTTTTCGTAGGATTATCTTATCGACTTTTAAGTGAGACACCTAGTAATATGCATGTATATCAAGTAACAGGACTGACACTTACCAATGATTTTGATATTGTATGTAAGGACGAGATTACTCAGGAAAAAGAGAATAAGAAAAATAAAAAAGCGATTGCTAATGAAATTTAGGTAACACAATTAATAATTCTTATTTTTTAAAAACCATTTTTGTATATTGCTGCATAATTGTATTATAAAAAAGAAAATTTTCTTTAGGTGTTACACTATATATACATTTGCAAAGTAGAATTATCAATCATTTATTATAAAGCTTTTTATTATAAAGCTTCCAGGAAACTTTTCTTTAATCAGTCAAAAGAGAAAGAATGTATAACAATTGATTGTTTAATAAACTTCTCTCTTAGGGAAGAGATCTTCGTAAAGCAATAGCACCAACATTAGAATTACCAGATTCTGGATTTAATTCTTTCAGTCTTTGTTCCATTTCGCATAGTAATGCCGATCTACAAAGACAAAAATATACAAAATACAAAATGTAAAGATAAGATTATACATTATTAGTATTGAAGATAATGTAGATCATCATTGTTTCGACGAACTTATTTCTCACCTATATTCCTCATAACGCATTACAACTTCCTCCAGTTCTTGCTTATACAGTCTGGTGAGCATAGCATTGAAACAGTCCAACTCGGGCAAACGAAACAATTCCCAACGCAGCTTACGATCTAAAGCTATTGAGGCTCTGCTGTACACGTACAGCCAATGTGGTATTTCCTCATTCAGATATGGATTGGCCGGCACCAAAACACTGTGAGAGTGAAAGTGAGTATGCCGTGGTGGTGATACGACCCGTACAGCTTGCATCTCATGTGGGTAACACGGATGTTCATACTGAGCTTGGCGCGTGATGTGGCTGAGAAAGAAAGGCGAGATATTTTTGTTGTGACATATATCGATGGCCTGTCGAATCCTCTTCCAAGTTCACTCACTTGACGTAATAAACGCCGTATTCAGGAGACTCAATTCTCTCCCATCCTGTGGGTAAACCCTCTTTTTCAAGTGGATGCGACCAATGCGTGGTCTTAGTATTATGATCGATGTAATATTTTCGACCACGGAGTGTGAAGTCAACTGACCATCCAGGTGGCAAAGGCAACTCATCCTGCTGCTGCTCATTTCGAGAACTTGATCTTTCCGAATAGCATCTACTATAGCTTCAACCGAAAATCAAAACTTGAAACACTATATTTTCAAGCATAAGCAATAATTTTCATATTAAATCTCTTTATTTTTAATAATTTTTATGTTCGTAATTATAAAATAAAAAAATTGTATTAATTTCAATGATATGATTTTAACATTATTTAACAGAGATGCTACAAATTTATAACATATTCGGCCCGAGTGGTCTGCATCAATCTGGATTGGATTAATAACGTAATAAAATTGTTCAATACAATTGGTTCTTACTTTTGATTCCTTGTAGATCTAAATATATAAACCAAGCGTGTCCAATTTAAGCTCCAGAGACAAAACACAATGTCATTGACACAAAAAAATTCAATGTGGGCAAGATTTCGAGGACTGTAAAGTTTAAATGTATCTGATAAAGGGAACTAAATGATGGAATCGAGGATTTTGATGCGCTTTTTATAGACTGTTCTTTAGCGAAAAAAAAAAAACTCGATACGTATCTGGCCGTTTCAGCCATTGGCCCATAGCTTCGAAGAAAACGATTTTTTAAATAATTATTGTAATAATTTAAAAAATATACTGTATAAATAAAAATATCAGTATAATTTTGTATAAATTTTATTAAAAAGCACATAAAAATCCCCGATCTCATCACCTGGTGTTCCTCTTATGAGTGACGCTTATCAACACTTTACAGTTCCTAAAATCTTATTCCTATTGAATTTTCTTGCGTCGATAGCTTTGTGTTTTGACTTCGGAGATCAAATTGGACAGGCCTATAAATCAATGATATTGAAGAATTTTACAATAATTGCGAAGCTGCTTTCTCTGCTGAATGCAGCCATTAAATCATGGGAAAAAATTTGTTCACAGAAAGCGCTTCGGAGAAATATGGACATTGCAAAAAAAAATCAAGCAGGTTTTGCTGAACTTTCAATTTTATCAAACATTTAATATTTTCTCATTTTATACCTTATTTTATAAAGAAAGAAAATTATCCAATTTAATATACATTATCTATAGAAGAATTATTATCTGGAGCATCATTATCTTATTGTATCAAAAATAAAATCCAAATAGTGCTATTTTTATTATTTACTTAATGCCAATAAAATCCAAGTAATACTATTTTTATTAATGGTTCTTTTATATTGACTTAATTCTTTTTTTATGCAGAATGATTAGAACAATCATATTAAAAATTGCATTATTATAATCTAATTTAAAGTTTTACAGCGCTCTCATTATTCCGTTTTATTCACAAATTGTTTTATTTACAAATGTAAAAAAAATCAACGTGTTATTTCTCGCTTATAATGTCACAATTCAATATGGGTGAAGGTGAATACTCAGAAATCTTAACAGGATGTGCAAAACGTTATTTATGTGTGTTATAATTTAAAGCAACAATAATTCAAAGCAATTCATAGTATAAAAAATAGACATGTATGAAAATATGGAAACTATCGAAAATTATTCTCATACCTAGCATTATGACGATAAATGGAGTGATTATAATCTTCGTAACTGTCGATGTCGAAAGGCATGTAAGGCATTTGTGGTGTCTGGACCCTATCCAGATGGTACTCGGATCCAGCATATTGATTGATGTAAGTATGTGACATTGCGGGTGACAGTTCGGCATGGTACATGGGTGTTGCTGTCCTCGAAAACATGCAGTCATTCATTCCAGTATTAACAGATAGGCCAGCAAATCTATTATAAAAATAAAAACATAAAATTGGAGGCATTCCCTGATAAAGTTTATTTCGTTCTTTCTTATTAATTATTCATAATTTTATTTTGTGTAAAATATTGTTGTTTAACAGTATAATTATAAAGTATCATTATGTAAAATCATATTAAACGTAAAATTTACTATTAACCTTTGACTTAAATCAGGAACAGAATTATTTGGTGTATATTTTCCTTCATGGCTGCCCAGACCAACGGCGCTGTTTGTAGTTTTCATATTTCCGAACTTTTGCACCATACTAGGTTGCGGAGAAATGGACTATGACACGAGAGAAGCATCGATAAAAATCAACATCTTCAGATGTCTTCTTATATGTTTCAATGATTCTTGACCAGCTGCTTTATGGAAATTATGAGATATATCGTATATAACTTTTTCTTAGCCCGTCGATAAAAAATTGATAGATAAAAAATTGATGTGGTATTCTAATAGATAATATTTTTCTAATAGAGAAATACCTATTGTAGAAAAAAATTATACGAATTACAAATCTATATTGCAGGATTAATAAATTATCTTTTTTATCGAATCTGTTTTTAAAGAATTATATGTTCAGAATTTATGTTTTGCAATTTATGTATGCAAATATTATTATTTTATATAATAAAGGAATAAAATGTATTTGTAACGTTACCATTAAAGTTACTTTTTTAAATTTAGGTCGATGAAAATAAATCTTAAATAAATTAAAGAGAAATTCTATAGGATTACTAACTCGTGCGTGTAATATAAAAGAGCATAGAAGCCAACGCAAGTTCTCACCTTGGATCTAATAATTAAAACTTTGTTTATTTCTAATTGTACAATGTGACCTTTAAATATAAACGTTTCAGTTTATGTATTATATGTTCAGTATATGTATCTTATTAAGTCATCCTTAAGTATACAGAATTATCGTTGAGTGGATGAAATTGCATTAAAAATTATTCCGCTAGGCATGTAATTATCTAAACATAATATTCTTTTTCTATTATATGAAATCAAATAACTATTTATCAATAATCCGTGAACCTCAGTACATATGAGCTAATTCTTGTAGGATTAATTAAATAAGACGAATCTTATAGGATTACGGCTGAGGTAATGTTTTTCGCAATAAATTATTTACAGATTTAAGGTTCTCATTAACTCAGATTATTACAATATTATTATAAAGCTTATTAGCATCACAAATTATTAAATTGCTTATCAGTTTAATAAGTAAATGATACTACTATACAGAGAGAGAAAAGTATTCGGCATTTGTGATTATATATAATTGCATAGTTAAAAAAATTATGATTAGAATATTTTTTATAAATTTATACAATTTTCAGTTCAAACTAACTGTGCGACGATTATTTGTCAATCTTGAAACAATTAAACAGTTCTAAATCGAAGCTGGAATATTATAAATTAATTGACAACATTTGAAGAAAAATATTTAGTCAAATTAATTGGAATTCTGGAAAATGAACGATGCAGAATTCTGGTTAAGTTTACTTCTGATTAAATCTACTAGAATTCTAGTAGATTTGATCAAAGAAATTCTGAATGTTGGTTATCTCAACTAGATCTCTAGTAAATTTAATCAGAATTCTGGATCATTCATTTTCCATCAGAATTCCAGTTAATCTAATCAAACATTTTTCTCCGTGAATTCATTGAATATTAGTGCTGCAAAACATCTTAGAAAGCCGTTACTGATTTGATGCTAATAAATATTTTAAAAACTATAAATAATTTATTGCGAAAAATATTACTCCATTTGGATAATATTTCGAACCCGGGTTTTCTGTACTACAAAATTTATTGTGAAAAATATCTCGGCTGGATTGTTTTAAAATTGAAAATTTAATTAATTCGTAATTTGTAAAACTAGATATGTATATGTATAAATTCATTCTGAAATGTGCAGGAAGCTCAAGTTCCCCCCCCCCCTCTCTCTCTCTCTTTCTCTTGGGCTAAAAAAATATTTCCCTCCTGTTTTCATATATCGGTTTAATGTCACTGTTGTTTGTTACTTTTTAATATTCAAACAAAAAATTTAAACTAAGTAAATAAGTTACAGTAACTTATTTACTTAGTTATTTTTTAAAATTTCCAATTCCTATCACATATAACATTACACTATAACAATTTATTGATCAACAAAAAAATTTTTCAGCAAAAGGCTACAATAATCTTTTGTGAATATATGACAATAATAAAAAGATTTGCTTATACTGACAGTAATAAAAATTACTTTTGGAAATAATAAGAAATAATATTATAATTTAATACTGATAAATCTCAACAATACTTATTTGCCGAGTAAACTTTCAATTTTATTTTTATTCTTTTAATGGATTCAAAGAACATTACATAATGTGATATAGTATGTAATACATTTATGTACAATACAATTTTTACCGTAGAACTTGGCATCATTGGATGATTGTTACGCCGCCTAGGTTTTTTGTTCGGTTCTGTTGTCCACACATTGATAACTAAATATAAATAACATGAGTTGTATAATATTTCTTTTGCAAAGTATAATAATAGTACTAGTTAGAATATAGGTGATATATGAGGAAAGAAAATGAAAGAATGAAAGATTTTATCTTAAAAAAAGGGAAGGAAATACATTTAATTAATCAATTTGTGTATGTTTTATTAAAATTTCTATATTCATAAAAATTTTTTATATTAATTCGTTGTGAATGTCGAAAATGACGTATGCTCCTGAAAGATATATATGACAATGAAAACCTCTTTCTATTTCCAATTATAATTAAATTAAGTACAAGGTAATAGGATGATAAATTCATAATGACAAAAATGTAAAATGAAAAAAATGTTTCTCCTAATTTAATTTGAGCTTAAAATTTCCTCTTTTATACTCAATGATTTTATACTATAGTAATAGATTTGTCGTCGATCTTTATATGTAAAATCATATTTGTTTTACAACTTAAACAAGAAACGGCAAGAGTAATGAGGAATACTTTGCAAAACCGAATATTTACATAGACTTGTTTTTTTATCGCTCTGCTACATGTATTATACTAAAAAATTTTCTCGTGCTTTCGTCCAACTCTAAATATGCATCTACTATCATTTTCAGTACAAGTATACTATAGTACAAGTATACAGTTACAAGTATACTAGTGCAATTATAAAAAACAAACCAAGTTCAAGCAAACATCTAAGTGCTAAGAAGGAACATATAGCGAAAAAAAGAGAAAAGAACAAAAAGCAGATTCTTGAAACACATACTTGGCATCTCGGGAGGCGTTTCTTTCTTCACATATTTGCCAATTACTCCCTCCTTGATCGTCCTGAGATCTTTATTCTTTCTTGATAACATGTTGCGAGTCTTGTCGACAGTCGCGCGAGAGAGAAATATTAAATCGGAGCGAGAACTAATTAGAATCGTGTAACTCGGTCAAGTGTAAACGTTGTACATATAATGACGTTAACAACACAAAAACAACTTAACCTATTAAGCTATGGGTAATTGTTTAGTTGAGCTTCCTCTAATTTTGATAAAATTATGCTCATTCGACGTTTTTTTGCATGAAACAACCGAATTTTAGGAATTCTTTAGAAAAAACTATCGCTGTCTTTTGAGTCGAGATACTAATCCGTTACAGTTCAGATTATTTAGGTTAGGAAATCTGTCATAGCTAGGTCAATAGCCAATTCTGGAATCTGGTAAAAAAAAGTTGATAGAAATAAATTGAGAACAATAGGATTTCTATGAATTTATATCGTTTTTTATAAATTTATATCATTTTTTATTACCGATCTCACGAACATCACGATTGATCGGATATAGTGATGGGCGATATCATGATGTATAAAAGCGCCTTTTCATGCTGACGCTCGACGCTCATTTTTGGCGTAAAATAAGTCACGTGACAAAAATTGACGAATATCAGCTGGATCCTCATACAGCACTTTGATACAAAGCACTCATTGGTAAAAAGATTGTAGGAGTAAAATTTACCCCCATCACTCATTTTTCACCAATCAGCGTTCGATGTTAAAGCTATTGTCTGTATGAGGATCCGGGCTGATATTTGTCAATTTTCGTGATTTTCGTCAAGCGTCAATTATGATCACTTATATTTTGGTGACGGACAACGCGATGCTACAAATGTTTTGAAGCATTTTTACTTTAAAAAGTAATTTTAATTGGTCAGTTTGCAAAATTCTTTCTTCTAATTGGTCCATTAAACGCTTCAAAGCGTTTGTAGCGAGACTTTGATCACAGCCTTTGACACTGAAAATGAGCGTCAGTGTTAGCATGAAAAGGAATCTTTAGTGTTATAATAAGTCACGTGATAAGAATTCTACGAATATCAAGCGTTGACTGGCACAAACTCTTGCATAATGCATAATGCATAGTGCATAAGGGAATCAACTAATTGAAATTCTTCTTTTCTAGGAATGAAAAGAAGGGAAAGATTCTGATGATTAATTGATTCGCTTTTGCACTATGCGTTATGCGAGAATTTGTGCCACGGCTCATGAAAAGGTACCTTAAGACAAAACGAATGCGAAGTACGCTACATGCATATCTCAGAATGCACCCTATGTTTGTTGCCCCAACAACGTCAATTAAGGTGAATTTAGGAAACCGATGAAAAAGGTTCGAACATAAAGTGTTTTTCACTGAAGATAAAAACGAGTTTTTCGAAACAGTCTTTTGTTTCAGGATAATAAAGTATTCGTTACAAAAAAATGATAATTTAGCCTCTCGCATTAAACGTAACCTCTATAGCCTTGTTCACATACGAGATCACAGATCGCTGTGGACGGAATGGCGGTTGGATCAACGAAGGTGGTTCAGGTGACAAATATCGCGCCTCAGGCCACCAAAGACCAGATGCAAACACTTTTCGGGTATCTAGGCAAAATCGAGGACATCAGGTTATACCCAACGATTAGGGATGTCGCCGTGCCTGTGCAGTCGCGTATATGCTACATCAAGTTCCACGATCAGGGTTGCGTCGCTGTGGCACAACACATGACCAATACTGTTTTTATCGATCGTGCATTGATAGTGATCCCATATCAAAATGGAGATATTCCGGATGAGCAGCGTGCCTTGGAGCTAACCAACAATGGCACAGTTGTACCAGGTAAAAATATGGTTTAAACTATTGGTTTATAATAGATACCTATAAGTAAATCAACACTTGTTTATGAGCTGAATGCTTCCATCTTTTTACAATCTTGTTAGAGCAAGACTGAAAACAAGGGATAAACACCAGGATTTAATTCTAGCATAGAAAGAGCTATAGGAGCCTATTTTTCAATTTGCTATTACATTAGCTATTTTTGTTTATTGATTATTTTGTTTATTGTTTATTTTATTTATCCTTTTGTCTGCGACACTCAAAAAATTGCAATAAAATTTAGTAAAATGTTTAATCTAGTCATCATCAGTTATAAATAATCACTGATATAAGTAATATATCAATGATAGTAGAGTAATATATCAATGATATTGACATATTACTCAATTATTGTATCAATATCTCACATATATATATACATCATAGATTTAATAAATTTTCGTATAATGGTAACATTTTAATTAGACATCTAATTTTAATTCTACGAACTACATTCTTTATGCAAACTATTAGTCTATGGACTACTATTTCGTAAGTACAGATGTACTGCTTACAAATTGTACTGCTTATTTTACAATGTAAGCGTAATTGTGAATAGTTGTAAGAATTGATCACAATCGAATATTCTCTATTTGTGATTGATAAATTTTTATTATAATCATTTTACAATTCTATTTGTGCAATTGTAAACTAGGTTTTGTATGAATGCAAATGTTGTCATACCATGACAGCTCTAGAGCATTATATTGGACTAAGAAATAATAAAGAGGATTTTAATTTCAAATTTTTTTTTGTTGTTCTTGGCATAAACTCCACCTCAAAGGTATTAATGTATATATATATATATATATATATACTTCAATTCTGAAAAAGAATTTTTGAATCTATAGAAGAGGACACTTACATTATGATTAATCGTCTTTAGGATTTCCTCAAAATAAAAATTTACAAGTAATTATTTATTTAATTTTTCGAACTTTGTTGCTATAGTACTTTGAGTTTCAAATTTTGATTTTAAATTTACTTCAAATTTGCACCTTGTATGTATGTAAATTTAAAAAGAGAAAACACTCTTTTTCTTAATTTCCAAAAAATGCTTTATCGTTTTTTAACATAGATCTTACTCTTTTTTATTCTTTTAGGTCTCTATCCATCAGAACCAAAGTTACCACCGAACGTTGTGAATGCTATTGAAGGTATTCCTCCAAATCATGTCATTACCACGATGGATCCCAAGCTAGAGGCGAATAGCTTGCCGTCCTATCCACACCTACCAGGTCATTTGGACAGCAGACGTATCGAAGAGATTCGTCGGACGCTTGTGGTAGCAAATTTGGATACATCGGTGAGCCCTGAGCAGCTGTTGGACTTCTTCAGCAACAACAACATAGAGATCAAGTACCTGCGTATGTGCAGTAGGGACTCAGATGCTGATCATTATGCGCTGGTGGAGCTGTCTGAACAGGCAGCTGTGATTGCGGCGTTGCTGCTGAATGGAAAGCAGTTTGCAGAACGATCGATCAAGCTATACCACTCAACGCAAGCAATTGCCAAACCAGAGGCAAAGAGCAACGAAGCTGCACAAAAGGAAATTGAAGAAGCAATGTCGCGGGTAAAGGAGGCACACAATCTCATCTCTGCGGCAATCGACCCGATGATCGGTATGCTTTCCAAGGATAAGCGAAGCAGAAGTGGCTCGCGCAGCCGTAAGTCTCGTTCGCGATCCCGCGGACGTAGCCGACGCTCGAGATCACGTAAGCGTTCACGATCGCGCCACCGACGCTCGCGATCTCGTCATCGGCGTCGATCGCGTTCGCGCTCCAAACGGTCTCGATCGAAGGATCGCAGGCGCAACTCTCCATCGAGACGACGCAGCAATTCGCGTAGTCGTCACCGTTCGCGTAGCAGATCAAGAAGGTCGAGGTATAACTAAACAATCTTTTGTCTTTGCCAAAGTCATATTGTATTCACACACATATATTGAATTCTACTTAGTGTATAGCGAATTCGGTCATTCTTGCACTACGAGTGATCAGTGAATACTAAAAGCTGAACATGAAATTAGTGTAAAGTTAAATATAAAAGTATTGGGTTGTCCGGAAAGTTCGTGCCGACTAACCTATATAATTGAATAAATGTATACTAAAATTTAAATTTTCTGCGTTTCAATTTTCCTTCAATATCGGCACGAACTTTCCGGACAACCCAATAAATGAATATTTTATACGATTAAATATATCTATTAATGATATTGTCACATTATTTAACATAATATACATTATTTAACATAATATTATTTAACATAATATTATTTTGTTCTCAAAGTTGATTATATTATATTACTGCACTGAGATATTTTATATAAAGCAGCTTTTAATATACACTGAATGAACTCGCGTAATGCGAGTGATGGAATTCACAAATTCTAGAAAAATATAAAGTATATTGTAGAAAAATGTTTCAGTATGGAAAAAAGGAAATCAGGATGCGAATGAAATCTCCGTCTTTAAAGAGATTAGTATATTTTTAATACATTTATTAATACATGTATTAACTTTTTATCTCGTCAAAGGTCACGTCGATCACCATCTAGGTCAAAAGAGCGGAAGAAGAGATCACCGCGTCGTCGCAGTCGTTCACGTTCACGAAGCAAGGGCTCTACATCCAGGTCTAGGCGGTCACGTTCAAAATCTAAATCCAGATCATCCAAATCCAAATATTCCGTGGACAAGACCAAGGATAAAGATCGAGAAAGGCGCAGCAAAGATAAGTCAGACAATGGTAAGAGAAGCGATAGTGATCGGGAGAGGGCCGAGAAAGAGAGCAGTAGAAGCGAGAAGAAATCTAACAAGGAGAAGCGATCGAGTGACAAATCGGATTCTAAACAATCAGATGACAAGAGTAGATCCGCATCGGAGAACGACAGCAAAGAGAAAACAATGGATTCGGAAAATTAGAGGACTCCATTCATCATTGATACAGTTTTCCAAGTATCGTGAAATTCAACAAACTACCTGTCTTTATCGCTAATGTATTGATGCAGTGACAAAAATATATGGATATATAGCATTCTCTCGAAGAAGCAATTCGTATGTATTGATCGAAATGTATCATAGATTCAGTTTGTTTTTACAAATGAATCTTCATTTTTCTGGGAATCGGCGATAGTTTGATCTTCTTATCCTCTTTTTCCTTTTTTGAAATATTTCTATTAAGCATGTTTTTAGATGACCTAGAAAAACAATGCTTCGTTTAAAATAACTTGGCCAAGGAAATCTTTAATCGTCGATATATATTATAATAATGGTGAAGAAAAAAAAATGAATGGTACAAAAAATTAAGTAGAAAATAGACCATATGTTTCAATATCTACTGTAATCAATTATAGGAATTCAATGTGCCTGTTAATTTAACATATTCTGTATTACATGTACCGTCGATGGTACATGTTAAAGTACGTCCAGAGCCGAACTTCGAATCGTGAGCATAATAATATATTAATGAACAAATTTTTATGAAAAATATTTTATAGTTTCATGCATATAAATTTGTCTTGCGTCGTATTTATAGTGGGGTGTACAGATTTGCATAATGCATCACATAACACATAAGAAAATGTACTAATCAAAGTCCTTCATTTTTTTCCTTTTCATGAAATAAAGAACTTTGATTGATTGGATTTCTTATGTTTTATGTG